TTTAAGTTTGTAATTCATACACATACATTCTCTTGTGACTGAGAATAGAAGCAGAAACCGTGTAATAGTGAACACAATCTGTTCGGGATTTGAAGTGAGGATCGAAAGAGCATCAAATTAATTTGAAATATTTTCACCTCGTTCTTACAATCGATTATTTGTGAAGCCGTGCGTTTCAATTAGAATCGCTTAATTGGACATGTAGCGGGAGAAGCCTCAGGGACCCACGTTTCGTGTACGTTCGCAACCCGCGCAGCGCTTGCGGAACGTTAGCGCGCGGTCTTCTCTGCTCGCGTCAGAACAGACTGAACTTTAGTGTATTTTAGAGTTTTTGTAGTATTGTGCAATTCAAATGAAATAAGAATATAGCGCACTTTGTGATCACAGCGCATCGGTTATAGAGTGCTCAATGTGACTTTAACATAGGTATAATTGCACCTATGAGCATCAAAGCCCAGTCGTTCATACAAGGTAAAGGAAGGGCAGGCACATAAATAATCTTTGAGAGAAGGTATGACCAAATCCGCTAGAATGAAATTATATCATCAGCATAAGTTTCGTTCTACAATTTTTGAGAAGCGAAATGTTTTTCTTCTTAAAAATTCAATAGTATACAAGATGAACGGATTCTTTTGAATTTGAAAAAAATTTTCAATGAAGAAGCGTAATTCAAACTATAAAGTCATTTGCATGATTTTTTGTTTAAACTTTTTTTTTAAATTTTGAAATCATTTTGAAGTCTGTTGTTTGTGTTTTTATTCTCCTACGCAAAAGGACACGGATCTTTTTTCGGTTGAAAGCTAAGTGCAGTCTTTTCCATTAAGAAAACTAGTTATAGAAAAGGAATGTAAAACAAGTTGTGACTTTGATGCAGTGTGCAGTGACGAAAGTAATTCCTTAAGTTTTCTCAACTCTTCCACTTAAAGTTCATAGATTTCGTGAAATCTGTGACTTTTGTTTTGTTTGAGCAATAAGGAAAATTTAGGAATTGTGGAGAAGAATGTGAATGTAAATGAGTGGAGTGAAGTAAAGTTTTGCGCAGATTGTGTTTTGCTCCATAACTCGACAATAATGGTAATGAATTTGGCGAAGAGAAGTAATTGCTGTTCTGCAC